ACACATCGTCTTTGGAGTCCTTATTAGCAGAGTTGTTTCCTTCATCGAGCAGGGTGCAGTGGAAGAAATGAGTGAGGAGGTAAAAGAAGTGTCGGATGAGGGGTATCAACTCCATGGTGATGAGAGCGAAATGCTAGTTGTAAGAAGTGCTCTGCAGACTGAAGCAAAGAGAGATCACTCTTGGTTGAGATAACATCTTTCATACTAGGTGTACTGTGAGAGAGAAGTACCCAGCCTTATTATTGATGAAGGGACGTTTGAAAATGTAGCCTCTACTCTTATGGTGAAGATGGACTTGGCTACTCATAAGCATTCTCAACCCTACTATTTCACCTGGTTGAAGAGGGGAATGAGATATGCGTGGATCAACGATGTTTGATATAGTTCTCTATTAGGGAATAGTTGTTGGAGCAGGTATGGTGTGATGTTGTGTTCATGGATACCTGACACATTATATTAAGGAGATCACGACAGTTTGATTGTAGGATTCAACATGATGGGGTGAAGAACACCTACTCATTCACGAAGGAGTGGAAACGCTTAGTTCTTTTCCCCATCAAGGAGTATGGAGGAGCTTACAATCACACTAAAGAGGAAACTGCGGTCCTACATGCCAGCTTTTTATAGACAGTGCGGGAGGCTCCAGTGGTGATGGCCTTAGTCATCCTAAAGGGGGCTGAGATACATGCACTACTAGCAAACTTTCAAAATGTGATGTCTGACAACTTACTTGAGGGAGGATAAACCTTATTCTTCGATCGGTGTTACCTAACTGGTCTGCTTATAGATTGAGAGCAACTGAGTACAAGGGATGCGAAGAGATATGTCAGGCAGTGTGGAGTTTGTCACCTGACAAATAGTCAGGGGCAGAATACAGGGCTATACACACTATTACTAGTACTAGAGGCTCCATGGTTGGATATTAGTATGGATTTTTTTGTGGACCTTCCTAAGACAACGTAATAATGATTTAGTGATGGTAGTGGTTGATAAGTTTTTAAGGTGACTCATCTTTTACTTTGCCACTGGACACTAGATGCATCACGTGTAACTGGCTTATGTTTTAGGGAGATAGTGAGACTTTATTGGATACCAATGACCATTACTTATGATAGGGATGTCAAGTTCCTGAGCCACTTTTACAGAATTTTTTGAGGAAGTTTGATACTAAGTTTCAGTTCATCTTAACAACACAATCATAGACAGATGGTTAAACAAAAGTGGTGACCAGAAGTTTCGGGAATCTCCTGAGGTGCTTTATAGGGAAGACCATCAAGATTTGGGATCTGATTCTAATCCAATCTAATTTGCTTACAATAATTATGTAAGTCAGAGTACTATAAATACTCCCTTTGAGATTGTATATGTACGTAACCAACTTACCCCACTTGAGTTGGTATCACTTCTTGCTACAAAGGTTTGTGTAGATGTTGAGGCAAGAGTACAGGAGATTCAGATTGTACATGAGGAAGAGAGATATCACCAAGCAGAACCAAAAATACAAGGAGAAAACTAATAAAACCAGAACAAAAGTGATTTTTCAGGAGTAAAATCTAGTGGATCAAATTGAAAAAATAGATGTTTCCCGTGTGGTCTCTTAGGAAACTCAAACTCAGAGCTGATGAAACTTTCAAGACCCTCAAAAAACTGAATGACAATTCTTACAAGATTGATTTACTGAGAGATTACAACATTTTCGCTATTTTCAACATGGTCGACCTGGCTCCATACTATGAGGAGACATGAGCTTCGACGGATAAAGTTGAAACTCCTCAAATCCCAGGAAACTGATACAGGGCATCTTATTTACCTGGACTAGTTCAATCCAAGGATATTGAGGGCTGACAGACCCTCTAGTCTTGGGTGTGGTGCCTTTTTTATGAGAGGGCCTACTCCTAGTTATCTAGTAATATATATTTGATTGTGTTTGTGTTTAGGGTTCTGTTTTTTTTTTTTTTGTGATATGCTTTGGGACAGTTATCGACATCTCCTCTCTTTGCAGGCTGTATCCTAGGGTTCCAAGTGGTTCTCTGGTTGTATCTTAATTTCCAGATGATGTTTATTCTTAAAATACTTTTCTCCATCCTTTACTGCATCATTACCACATCCCCTTCATTGTTGATCTGCTATCGCCGTTCAGAAAATAGGAAACTTGTTGTTTTTGTGTGTCCAATCTGTTGTCACCGCCTAGGGACAAAAACTGTATTGCTGCCCTCCCCTTTGAGCTTGCTAGCCACCTCCTTGCCACCTTATTCCCTAGTATTTCCTATTATTATTAGTTTTCAGTTTGTTGTATTTTCAATTTCTGGCTACTCTAAAATCACTAGTGGTTGTTTGTGTTTCTCTTAACCTTATTTGCATACTAATTCTGGTATCAATAACTTTTGAAAAAGGTATTTAAAAAGGATGCGGTGAATTAGTTAGCTTCATCAATCTTTGGTCATGCTAAACTGAAAACTCAATCATTGATGCTTAGTCCGATTAGTCTTTGAGGACCACCTCATATGTCGATCTTTGGCGTGACTTTAGATCCCTTGTTCCTTTGTTAATCATTTGTCTGAAGGCATGCAGCTATTTAATTTCTGCAAGCAATCTCATTAGATTATAACTCTATGATAATTTTTGAGCTGTCATCAAGAGGAGGCCAATATAACTGTTGAACAACTTTGATGCCATCAAAATGGTCAGGCTGTATTGCTGCCCTCCCCTTTGAGCTTGCTAGCCGCCTCCTTGCCACCTTATTCCCTAGTATTTCCTATTATTATTAGTTTTCAGTTTGTTGTATTTTCAATTTCTGGCTACTCTAAAATCACTAGTGGTTGTTTGTGTTTCTCTTCGCCTTATTTGCATGCTAATTCTGGTATTAAGGTATTTAAAAAGGATGCAGGTGAATTAATTAGCTTCATCAATCTTTGGTCATGCTAAACTGAAAACTCAATCATTGATGCTTAGTCCGATTAGTCTTTGAGGACCACCTCATATGTCGTTGATCTTTGGCGTGACATTAGATCCCTTGTTTCTTTGTTAATCATTTGTCTAAGGCATGCAGCTATTTCATTTCTGCAAGCAATCTCATTAGATTAAAACTCTATGATAATTTTTGGGCTGTCATCAAGAGGAGGCCAATATAACTTTTGAGCAACTTTGATGCCATCAAAATGGTTATGGTTTCATTCTGATTATTTGAAAAGAACTTGCTTTCCCTTTGACCAATAGAAATTAAAAGTCTGCCAACATGTTCTTGGCCAGTGGTACACATTAGGAGGCCGGAAGGGAAGTAGTGAATTTTCTTGAGCTATTAGCGAGGATGAAAAACAGAGAGAGATGAAGGGAAAATTGTGGGTATGCTGCTTGGAGTGAGCCACTCAGAAAACTTCTATAAAAGAGAAAAACGATTATGATTGTACTTAAATGTTCATACAAGTAGTCATGTTATAAAGAAAAATAATATTTAAGATAAAAAATAAATTACTCTTATCCTAGCCTTATTAAAATGGTGAGATTATCCTTATTTTATTGCATTTAATTTAATAAAAAAAATAACCTAAACCGATGACTGTGTTCTAAAATCTTTGAAAATGGTTTGGTTTAGAACTTCCACTGTTTTGTTTGACCCTTGTGGTTCGCCCATTGAGAAATTGGATATTTGTGGGCTGATTTGACTATATAATCATCCAATGGGATTGGAGGATGCTGCATCCAGGTTTAGGAGTGGGATTGTAAATTCAACAGAAAATCAAATGATGTGAAAGAAAAATGATGTTAAGATAATGAGTACTCATGGTATGAATGCTATATCTTGAAACCCCTGAACAAACGAGTTATGGAAGCAGCTTGAACCCATTCCTCCAAAGTACATGATAGAACTAGGAAGCCAAAATGTGAACTACTGATAAAGCTTTATTATTATTATTAATTTATTCCTCCATACACTGATAGTTGTAGTGATGCGAGAGCTCCCGTGATACCACGATCGGAGTGGAATGGTTTCGTCCGATTAATTTCCCGAATAATGGGATTTATGTTGTCGGGCTGTGGGCTCTTTTTTATATTATTTTAATTAGTATTAGGGTTAATTTATTTTGAGGCTATATATTGGTTTGTTTTTGGATTGGTGTGTACTTTTTCTTTGAATGTGTATTAGGACATTGTGCATTTTGATTTCTATCCTAATGAGTGTTGTATCCTCTTCCTTTTACAAGTGCTATGTATGTAATTTATGCAGGTACAGGTGGTGAATCTTCCTCAACAACTATTCCTAATCGAAGCTTTCATTTCATGGTTCTCTCCACTGTTTTTAGCTCTTACAACCACCAAACACGTTCTATCCCATTCTAAGTGTTGTCGACCTTTCATATCCTCATTCCCTTGCCATACCACAACACCTCCCAACTTGATCTACTTCATAAACACCTAAGAATCCTAGAATGGTGTCAGTTAGGGCTGTAACATGTTTAGAAATACCCGTCTCTTTGTTTTATAGTTGTTCTTTGCCACTTATGCAGGACTTCAAATTAGATAATTAATTGAACAGGACTTCAAATTAGGAGATAAGTTGAACAAAATGTTAAGTAAAGCACTCATAATAACCAATTGCATGTTTAAATGAGAGTTTAGCTAAGTTATCTGAATGATGCGATGGTTGAAATTTTGGCCTATTTGATGGATGAGACTATGAAAGTGTTTCTTCGTAATACTTTTATCCATAAGTGCTGAAACGTTATTCTGTGGTTTCTTCATACTTCTTTTTTGTGCAAGAAGTATTTTTTTTGGGAAGCCCAGTTGACCTGCCAATTTGAGTCATAAGAGCATTAGTTGTGTTGTTGTTGGGTGGAATGAAGAGTTTAGTTGAGGAAATGTCTTTCACAACGTCAAGACTATGAAGATACTTTTTCCAAAAGTTTGTTTTATAGTTCAAGCTTCATATTATTTCCCTTCATAGAGTTGATTTCCATAAAAAGGCCTCAACCTTACAATTTTTTTGATTTTTTTTGTTGTAGGGCTGCTATTAAAGATTTCTCTTTAGGACTGAGTATTGACAGTTCAAACATTGAAAGCCTGTACTTGCGTGCATCTTGTTATCATGCCATTGGAGAGTATAGAGATGCGGTATTTTTCTATGCTTTGCGCCTCCTTAATTAGTGCTTCCTTTGTTATAGTATGTAGCTTTTTCACCCAACTTCCTTTTTGTGCATTTGTTCGAAGTCTGGTATTATTTGGCTCCCTAGTTAGAGGTTCTATTAAAATTATTAGCAGGTCTTTAAAGAATCGTTTTTCAAAATTTTCTGTTTATTTATGCTTCAACTAACAAGTTAAGCTTGAATCATTGGTAAGTTGTGATAAGGTTTATTCTTCTCTAATAATAATTAATGTGAAAGTTTGGCAAAACATCCATCTTATATCTCAATTGCTTACATCCTTTTTTTTAAAGTTTTTGCTCTTCATTACAGTGGTTGTTCTAGTTATCTATTAGAAATTTGCTGTTAGATGACTTTGTTTGGGAATAAATGTTGTTGTTGTGCTCAAACAATAATTAATTTTTCTAATTTATATCTTATATTTTCTAACAAGGACCTCGAGCTAGATTGTGGCAATATATACCAACATTATGATTTGATCAATAGATGCCATCTTTAATACTGATTTTCACCTTAGTTTATGCTTTCTCTTCATATTTCATTTCCCCATCTAAATGGAAAGTATATTGCATCAAATTCAGGTCAAAGATTATGACCTAGTCATGGATTTAGAGAATGGTTCAATGGATAAGTTCGTGCTTCAGTGCTTAGCGTTTTACCAGGTACTTCTTTAGGGTTTTGGAGGTTCTTAATTCTTGTAATATGTATATTGGTTTGAACAAATTTGATTTCCTCTTTAGATGTGCAGTTGCATTTAGGGATATTCTAGAAGTGCCTGTTCGTGCCTCGTCTCTTTGTGTTACTGATATATTTGTTCTCTGGTTGTTTCCAAGGATTTATGTTTAACTTTGTTTTTATCACATTTTCTCATGCTAGGTCCCAATGAATTCATTAATTTTATGTAAATGATTTTTATTTTTTGTTTTTTTGACTCATTACTACTATTGAAACATATAATTTAGTATAAATTACAGTTATTTTCCTCATTTTTTCCATAATCGGCATAGTTATTTTTACTAATAACCAGCCAATTAAATCCCTTATTTTATGGTAATTAGAAATATGACTTTTTCTATGCCCCTCTAATTGCAGAGATTAAGTTAATTAAAAAAATAAAAAAGAAAAAGGAAAAAGAAATTATAGGCTTCTGCTATATTTAGATTTCAATGCGTAGCCTTTTACAAGGCAACTGTATGAGTTTGAGAGGTTTGAACTCATGTTCTTTCTGTACTGATTTGAAAAAAAATTGAAATTTTGTTATGAAGGCGGATTACATTTTGGAAAGCTCTTAAACTGCTATCAGGCCCTCTTTTAAAATTCAATGCCCTCTTATATAAAACCTACTTTTGCACAGGCTATGTTTAGAATTTTCTTTTCTTATTAGTTTGTTTACTTTTTGTTCCATTGAGTTTATTAATTTATTATGCTTGTAAATTGTTTTATGTTTTTCTAGAGTTATGACTTGGCAATATTAGCGAGACATGTAAATTAAGGTAAATTGCAAATAAGTTCCTCATATTTATTAAAATATGAAGTTTTTTTAAACAGTTTTAAAATCACTCAATTTTCTCCGTTTTCTCAATGATCATCTGGAAAAGGTCCTTGTGGCAGTTATTATATTTGAATCCATCTAGTTCAAACAAGACAATCAGATTTTTTTCAATTTTTTACAATTATTTAATGGGTTAATTTTTTTTTTTTTTGTAAGGAAACCCAGCTATTGCAGAAAACGTGAGGTACCGATTTGCAATTTATCTTATAAATTATGGTCCCCAAGAGCAATTAACTGTAAGAAAAATTAGAATAATTAAATTAAAACTTCTACTAAATGCAGTCTTCGTTTTTCTATGAAGATATGCTTCTACATCAGTCTGGGAATGGGGTCAGCAAAATCACCATTCAATAGGAAATTATCCTGCACTAATCATTTTTGTCATTAAACTCGTGAATATCTGTGTACATCTATTTGGTTTGCTACAGCTAAAACAGATTTATCTTGCACTAATCATATATATCTTGGCATGTAATGCAGAAAGAAATTACTCTTTACACCGCTTCAAAGGCCAGCAGTGAATTCTGTTGGTTTGATATTGATGGTGATGTTGATCCGCTTTTTAAGGTACTGATTTTAGCTGCTATATGGATATGCATTTCCTGTGAATTTGAGTGCTAGATTGTGAATCATTGTTTTATGGATTAATTTACTAAGGGTTAATTTTGTTTTATTTTCTTATAATTGAAAGTTTGGGTAAACCCTTCTTCTCTATAAAAAAACAATAATTGCAAAGTTTACAAAATGATTACAAGAAATTAAAAATAGCTTCAAAAAACAACAACAAAGATAAAAGAAGAAATAAGTAAAATAAAAAAAAGGAAAGTTGCCATTGAGAATTATTGGCAAAATTTGATCTCTTCCGTGAACTTTAAAGTTTTGATACTTTTCTTTTCATCAGCATTGTTGATCAAGAAGTAAGCTAAATTGATGTAATTGGAAAACTCCTTTTCTTCTTATTTCACAATTGAAAGTATATTTTACATATTTTTATACACTCCCATCTTTGAATATCTCTAATATAGAAAATATAATGTGCTTAGATCTCATCTAATTAGATTACCTAATATTAAGTTTTCTAATATGCAAGCATTAGATTTAATTTGTTAAAAAACAAATGAATATCAGAAATTTAGTTCCCGCTGTCTGACTGTCTATTCCCTCCCGTCTTGGTTAATTCCAAGCTTCAGACTGGGTCGTGACAAAATTAGTATCAAAGCGGTTTAGGATGATTAATGAAATTTTGATGAAAGAGACAATAATAATAGGGTAATTATAAGAAAATTTTAATAATAAAAAAATAAAAATTTAAGTTAACTCAAATTAATAATTATGTTTATTCAGGCACGGTGATACACTCCCAATTTTAGAAGAGAATCCGATAGAAAGCGAAGAATTACAACCCATTATAAATGTGAATGTCCTAACCTAGATGATGACAGAGATGACTCAGCTAATTTAGTAGTTCAGATCGTAGCCTATTGGAAATGATTCAGTCGTAATTGACAAGTACTTGAAGTTATTTCAAGATCTATGTTCACCTTTGATGAAGAGAGCTGAAGACACAATCGAAACAGAGAACTGACTATGACTTGTTGGATGAAAGAAGAGTACCATTAGCTTTTTTTGCGTTGGATGGAGAAGCCAAATGGTTGTGGTGCGGGCAGCGTTAGGATATGTTAAGGGACATACCCAACATGATGATAAGTTGGGAGGAGTTTGTGGAGCTTTTTAGAGAGTTGTTTGTACCCCTATCCCCTCGAAGACAGATGCAAGACAAGTTCATCAAGTTAGCGTAGGGAGAGAATACGACAATGCAGTATGAAGTAGAATTCACTGTACTACTGAGGTATGTGCCATAGTTGATCACAACTGCAGAAGAAAAGTGCAACACATTCCTTTTGGGATTAAAGGATTCGATCAGACAGTCGTTGATACCTTTAGGGATCGATGAATACTCAATATTAGTGGAACAATCTAGAAGAGTAGAGATGGTCTATCAGCTTACTCAAAAGCATAATGAGATGCACAAAAGGAAGAGTAAATGATGATTAACATGTAGATCAATCAAAAAGATCTAATGGGAAGAAGTCCAAGAACAATTCTGGTGGCGTTAGCAAATGTACGACTCAGGGTACTGTAGTCACTTGTGTCAAATACATAAGATAACATAATGGTGAATGCTTGATGGGGTCTAACACTTGCAATTGATGTCGTTGACCTAATCATATAACAAGATATTGTCTATCTCTTGGTCATTAGAGCACTGAAGATCAGAAATCTAGTGGAACTCCTTCGCAAAAGACTGCAAGTGGACAGAAAAAATACATTCTATAGCTTCAGTTCCTACCCAGAAAAAATACATTCTATAGCTTCAGTTCCTACCCAAGGTCAACCAAGACAACCTGTTCGACCTCTGGTATATTTTCTTACTCATAGTGAGTATAAGGAATCTACTATTGATGATGGTGATGAGATTTTATGAGTGGTGTTGTCTTATATATATGAGTATTTTTATAGCATACTTTCTTGCTTCAGTGTTATCCGAAGTATAATTGAGTTGTCTTGTATCGATTCGTTACCTCTATAGTGATTAATTTTCATTTTAATGAATAATCTCTAGTTTCATGGATAGCTAATATTCATATTTTGGATGAGATGTGACTATGGTCCGTTTTTAAATTTCGAAGACAAAATTTTTGTGAGGAAGATTTTGAAACCCGTTTTTGTTACTAGGGGAGAAGAAATGAAGAACCAAAGTAAAGGTATTGAGAAGTCGAGAAACTGGACTGAGAGGGAGAGGAAACCGATGGGGTTTGAAGTCGAAAATGTTTCCCTATAACTTGTCGTATGAGGAAGACGGGAACTTACCAGGAAAGTCGAACAAAAGGCGTCGACGGTTGCACTGTTGGGTTTAGCCGCGATGTCGATAGAGGAGCTGAAGTCACTGTCAAGCAGAGGAGGAAGAGGCGAGTGCGGGAGAACCTTCTTACGCACACATCAACGCTCAATCCTGGGCATTGAGCTGAAGAAGAAAGGAAAAAGGCAGTGTTGCAGGCTGAGAGCCTCATGCGTAAAAGAGAACAAATGGATCGTGTGAAAAAGAGGTGAAAAAGAGATCTCTAGCGTGCGACTGTGCCAATCTTGTCGGGCTCAAAGGATAAAAAGAAGAGCGACGACACACGTGTTTTCTTCGACAGAAGAGACAGGGTTTTTTGTAGTGAAATAATAATAATAATATATTATTGAATAGAAAAATAAACATGAAATAATAAAAAAATTATTAAATTTGTAATAACATAATAAATAAATTAAATTTTAATATGAATATCATGTTTATGTTAGCTTCCCAATTTAGAAGAGTCGACATCAAAACAAATCAAATAACAAATTAATTGACATTAAGGTGAGTACTCGTACTTTTAACTTATGACAATATTTTGGTTCTTCTCCACTATTTTGCATTACTGGTTCATGATACTGTCGGTCAACTTTTTCGATTTCGATTAGATTTATTTGAAAAATATGATATATAAAAATAATTTTTGAGATTTAATTTAAATATAAAAGATATATAGTTTGGGTTTTGAAAGTAGTGTGTTTTAGTTTTTGAAAAATGAGACCAAATGGATCTCATTCGTCCAATAGTTTGCATAATCGTGCCTGATACCGCGAATACTACACCCTCCCGAAAGATAAGTGTAGACCTCGACAATAGACCCAATCCAGCAAACTAAGAGATTTGTGACATCCGTTTAGTCTGCGAACCTTTTAAATATGACCGACAAGTTCCCCTATTTAATACAAAAATTAAATAGAGTTTATTTTATCTGGGTTCCAAGTTCCCTATAGAGGCAA